ACCTCCACCTACACCCAAACCTCCACCTACACCCAAACCTCCACCTACACCTACACCCAAAAAATACTCTCCTAATTCTGAGTGACAAGAGATATAAAGTTCACCTCGAATATTGCACTGGACACAGCTGTAGAAACCAGAATGCTCTTTCAAGTTCATTAAAAGTGCTGCTGCTGGTTTGTCAACTGCTGCAGCGATGAGGTAAGCATGTACTTTGATGAAACCATGATTTAGATTTGGAGGAGATATGTGAAAACCTAATTCCATCAGACGTAATTCATATACCCAATCCGAAATGAAGTCCTGGAACTGTGCTTTTTTGGGTTTTGTTCCTCCCATCGAAATACAGCAAATAATTATATTGTTATGGTTGAATCGAATTTTTCGAGGCAACTCGTTTATTATCATTGAACAGATCCATATTGAACGACTAAATTTTTTTAACACAACCCCATCGCTGTTTAGTAGCAGGGTTGCTATTTGTTTCATTGGATCAGTAGTTCGTTCTTGGCGTATAATGGCTCGCCAAACTTTACCATCTTTAACATCCGATATTTTTGAATGATCAGTAGCTGGCTGATTCATCAAACTATATCTATCTAATATAGCTATTATTTGTGGTAAAATTTTGAATGTACATAGTGTAGTTGGGATTGATGCAAAGCCAGTACTCGACTTACAATTTACATTTTCACATTTTGATGTATTTGATCCCTTGTTCCCACACTCAGCACAAACAGTATATTGTTTACTCTGTAAGATATTTTCTTTATTGTGCATTATATTCCGTTCGATAGAACGGAAGTCGGATGGCACGTTTTTAATGCCAAGAGATCTGAGCAAATCACACAAATCATTTATGCAAGACTTGGACAAGCTATGTTTGTGTCGAAACAATGCAAGAGCAGTGGACATGTCTTTTAAATCATGTTCAGAAGATTTAACATTATTATCAATAAAATTGTGTGGTATATTCTGTAAAACTTCATCATCAACATTGCTTGAACAAGAATCAACACTGGACACATCGTTCATAATATGATCGAATGAAACTGAATCATCACTCGATTGTTTTTCGTTTTGCTCTTGCATTAACACGTCATCAATTTCATTTGTTTGAACGTCGGATTTATCACTTAGATTACTTGTCATTCTTAAATTTTTAATCACTATTGATAAAAAAACTAACGCTGAATTACTTACTCAACATCATTAAAATCATTAAGATGTATCGCTGATAAAAGATCATTACGAGTAGCACGAGTATTAGCATTTCTTAAACGACGAACTGCTTTTTTAGCTGAACGTAATGGAATATTATTTTGTGGTTTCATATTAACTATCTGGAGTTTATAAATATTTATTAGATTAAAAAATAAAAATATTTATTAGATTAAAAAATAAAAATATTTATTAGATTAAGAAATATAAATAAATATTTGTAAAACTAGTTGATACATTTAGAGATAAATCAATCATTTTTAATTAATCTTTGTTTTCTCTATATTCTCTTCGCTTAAGATTGTAAAAATCGCGCGCAAATATATTTTTGATAGATTGTGAAGAAGCAAATCATATATTAGATTATATCATATCATTATTAATAGGAAGAATAAAATTAAATGAGTATATTTATTAACATTTATTCTTTCTTCGATTTTATTTAGAACCAGAATCTTTATATAATTATTTGACTATCAAAATATATAACAGTAAGAAATTTGTTTCATTTTATTTGAATTCATATAGTTAACGTTTAAGAAAATGAACAGCTATAGTTAGAAGCGTTAGTTGGATATGAAAAAAAAGAAAGCTGATCGTGTACATTGTAAGGTATTTTAAATGTCACATGATATGCAAAAATATAATAGAAATAAGACATTTAATGGAAATAAAGAATACAAAAAAATGGAATAACAGACAACGGATAGAAACACTTAAATTGAACACCTTTGTAATAAAAAAAATAACTTTTATGTCTTATTCATGCATAAGTTATATTAATTA